TTTTTGGGGGGGGGGGGAATAGAATTCAGATTGTAATTTTTGCCATGAGTTTTTTTTTCTTTCTTTTTTTTTAACAATATCCATGTATAATTAACTGTTATGAGAAAAAAATATTGTAATGCAAGTATGACAAAATGTTGGACTTTCATTAATCTATGTAAATCATACTTAGAAATGTATGTCAGTCTGGTTATCTATCATTCTCTTCATATCTAGATATCTGAGTATCCATTTATCTCTGTCCTACAGTATGTTTCTATGTATATATATGTATGTATATATGTATGTGTATATGTATGTGTATATGTATGTATATATGTATGTATATATGTATGTATATATGTATGTATATATGTATGTATATATGTATGTGTGTATGTATGTGTGTATGTATGTGTGTATGTATGTGTATATGTATGTGTATATGTATGTGTGTATGTATGGATGTATGTATGGATGTATGTATGGATGTATGTATGGATGTATGTATGGATGTATGTATGGATGTATGTATGGATGTATGTATGGGTGTATGTATGGGTGTATGTATGTATGTATGTATGTATGTATGTATGTATGTATGTATGTATGTATGTATGTATGTATGTATGTATGGACACACACACACACACACACACACACACACACACACACACACACACACACACACACACACACACACACACACACACACACACACACACACACACACATCCATAATTATAAACTGGCATTCACATCCATAATTATAAACTGGCATTCACATCCATACCTATACCCATACTTATGTGCAGACATATACAGTACAACATCAAACACACAACTTACCACACTGCTAATGTTCTTTTTCTATGCCTATCTACCTGCCTTGTCCTGAGCAAGAACTTATAGATATAAATGATCTCATCTTGCAGGTTTTCTCCTGATGTACTGGGCATGCAGGCAAGCTCAGCAATGGTCTGGCTTGTGCTTGAGATCTTCTTGATTTTGGCCACACTCTATGTTACAGCCATAAGTACAAATATCAAGACTCTTGACCTCTTGGCTTTTTCATCATACAAATATGTTGGGTAAGCATAAAGTTTTTTTTTATTTCCTTTGTTCTGTGTATTTGATTTTATTTAGTAGTAGACTGATATTTTCAGGATTGTGTAAAAAAGTATTTTATTTTTATATTTATCTTCCCAGGATGAACATTGCCCTGCTGGCTGGGATAGTTGATGACCTTGGATACTACCTTGTCCTTGCCTACAGTAGCTTCAGCCTTGTAATTTTCATGGTGAGTACAAAGTTTTAATATTCCAAATTAGTAATGCTGTTTTCAGTTTGATAAATGTAATGTATATCTGCATATGTATGTGCATATTTGCTTGAGTAGATTGATGAGATAGGTTGATGTATTTTTAAATTATTACTTTCAAGAAATGTGGCCAGAATAGTTGTCCTTGGATTATTATACCTAAGTAATTGGCAATTCTACCCACAGTTCCGAACCTTACGATGGCAGGTCCAAGGAGGTGATGGAGCCATGGAAGCTTACAGTGCGGGTAATAAGCGTCGCCTCTACCTCTTGCTGTTTATGTCAGGCCTTCAGCCACTCATGATGTGGTGGCTCACTAGACACCTGGTGGTTGACTAAACAACATAGTGATAAGGCTTTTCTTTTTGCTGTATATTTGCAGCATTAGTCACACTTATCTGCTACATCATTGAATATCATGAGTTGTGTGTGTTGGTTACTCAGATAGAACTGCTAAATGGTTGTAAATAGAAACTAAGGAGGAGAAATTGTGTCCTTCTAACATATAATGGGAAATAGGCATATTTGCTTCCTAATACTTTTATATATTATAATTTCTTTTTTTTTCTCTCCAAGTTATTGTGGTTATGTTTCAGACATCTTTCTAAAGGTTTATGATTTGTTACCCTTATTACCTCTGGTGTATATACTTGTTTGCTTTTCTCAGCAACACTTGGTAAAATAATATTTAGAATAACAGTAGCTGCCCATTCTTAATATCTCTCCCAATTGTTTCATGCCAGAGCACAGTGAACAAATCTGGTTTAATGGTTGGAGGCTCTTTGTGGGCATGAATAAGATCTGAGGTTTTGCGTGGCAGTTTAGACTTACTTTGTGCTTAGCAGTATTCAGTCTGATGGTGGATAAAGGAGATACCACTCTTTAAGCAACTTTGATATTATGTATATACACACATTTCTTTATAATCCAGGTGTCCATGCAATGCTTGTTCACGTATATTGGTGAGGATTTTTATGGAGACTGAAATAAGTGTTATGAATTTGGATATTCTTCCAGTGACTATACTAGTGATATTTTTTGTATGGGCAAGTGTTTTGTTAATTTTGTGGATGTATACCTGCATTGCAAGTTATAGTGCCTAAAATCATTTTACAAAAGTGATAAGGCTTCAAAGGCTGAAACTAATTGTTTTAGGCTAGAGCTTACTATTTTGTAATAAAAATAAAAAATACAAATTTCTCTTTTAATTCTTTCCCATATCTGAATTGGCAATGTAGATAGTGATTTGAGAAAAAGGTTTCAATATATTGGTATCATTTGTATGTGTACTTGTGAGTAATGGAGTTTCTTTGCGTATGTGAAATATTTTGAAACTAAAAATCTAGTTTTTAACCCAATGACGCCGGGTGTACAAAAAAAAAAAAAAAAAAAAAAAAAAAAAACTCTACGCTTAAGCAAACAAAGGCGGTGCACCAACTTTGAGTGCATGAGTAGGGGACATCAGCCCGAATCACTGGCTCGCCGCCGTCGCGTACAGCCGCACGCCAGCTTTCAAGCGGTTTGTTTACACGCCGATCGGCGTCACCCGGCACCAAGGGGTTAATATAATATTACTCAAGTTGAAAGAAAATAAGCTTGTTGGAAAAGTTACTAAAATATTATAAATGTGATGTAGTTTACCTAATTCCATTACAGAATATATCAGATTTTGTAAACTGATAAGGTGTTTTGAAAAAGATAAGGTTTTTTGAAGAATATTCTCAATGGATTAACAATATTCTGGACTAAAGTGCTTACTGTAGCAATGTATACACTTTTGTATTTGCACTGTGGCAGAAGTTTATTTTAGTTTTGTTTAGCCAGCCTGATTCATGTGGCAACTTTTACCAATATTACTCCCAATCTTTCCCTCCCTGGCTAATACCTTCCTAATGTAATTGCTCTTCTATTTTTCTCTAATTCACCTAAAATAATATCCCACCTATCCTCACACATTTTCTTACACATACCTTTAGTCACTCCAGTACCCATATCTATATGGATGGCTCTAAATCCACTTCAGGTACTGTAGTCTTTCCTTCTCACACATACAACACTCTCCTTCCTCCTGAAGCAAGTATCCTTACAACAGAACTATATGCTATCCTTTTCACTCTACAATGCATGTCTTCCATCTCTTCCTCATCCTTCACCATCTTCACTGACTCACACAACTCAATATCACTCTCACAATCCATACAACCAATCAACCCTATAATCTGTAAGATACAAGACCAGCTGTTTTATCTTTCTACATGACAGAAAGCAGTGAAATTTTGCTGGACACACAGCAGTGATGCCTTAGTGATGGTTAATGGTTTTTAACCCAGTGGTGACGGGTGAAGAAAACAAAAAACAAAAAACTCTACGCTCTGGCAAACAATGGCGGTGTGCTGACTTTGAGCGTGTGAGTTTGGTACATTAACCTGAATCACTGGCTCACTGCGCTTTGGCACGCTGCCGCGGCGTACAGCCATCCGCCACCTTTTGAGCGGTTTGTTTTCCGTCTATTGGCATCACCCGTCGGGAAGGGGTTAATGTTTAGAAAAAATAAATGTGCTTGAGATATAGGACCTGACGCCTTTGTATGATCTACTGCCTTGTCCACAACTCACCAACCTGACTTTTCACACATTCCAGCCACTAATTACTACCCCCACTTAAAAACATTCCTCAATAAACATTGGTAATCTTTCTGGTCATGTCTGACCACAAATAAACTCAAAACCATAAAACCTCCCATCTCCCCTTAATCGGCCCCATACCACCAGAACAGGCCCTGGAAATCTGCCCTTGCCTGTTTACAAATATTTATTTATTTATCGAAAAATTTCTGCTGCATCATTATCATAAGGTCATCATTAGTGGCTTATAAAAAACATATTGATTGGGTGAGGCTTGGGGGCAAAGTTTGTGGATTTCCAGAATGGTCTGTGGTTTAAAACAAATGTACCAAACATCAAAGGTCACACAGCACTATGGTAAGGTATTGTAGTGGAAAGGGTAAATTTCCAATCCAGCAACTTGAATGTGCATAACACTGTATCTGGCTTGCTATGGTGTGAGTAAATGCCAGTGTCACTGCTTTAACTTTCACATCATGGCAGACTAACCCTCAAGCCAAGTGCAGCTACCAAGAGCTTAGAAAGCAGAGTAATTTTATGTTTTCACTGTTTCTAATTTTTCCCTTGAGCAGTGGATTCTGTGCCTACCCTGTAGCATGGTGCCAGGGAGTTCCTGTTAAAAGTAAGCTAAGGATCTGGAATGTTCCTTTTATGTTCAAAGAAAATACCTATCACATATGGAGGATAATGAATACAAAGGAAATTGGTCTTTCTATATACATTAAATAACTATACATATTCAAAACATTTTATCTTGTGGTCTTAAGGTTGCCATTAGTTGACCCATCTTGATTCAAACTCATCTACCCAGGTATGTATATGCTTCAGTATTTCACAAAGATGATATGCCATTTCCCTTTCTGCTTCAATGTGATTAAAAAGGGAGTGCAATGAAAAAGGTAGCTAAACTTCAGATTACAACTTTACAGTCAATAAAAAAAGCATGTAAATAAAAAAAAAAATGTAAATAAAAAGTATATCAATAATCTATGAAAATACTACAGAGAATACTAAAATATTGGTACATGAATCTGAATGTTTAAGAACACATCACACTGTTGCCCATCTTTTACACATTCTTAATATCTGAATGAAATACTGAAATCTGTCACACACATCACCCAAAGAAAACAAAGTTATGAGACACCATCAAATATATTCTAAACATGTTTATCTGTATAGGTGGTCAGCCTGAATGTTTGCGGCAATTTCAGGTTCCCACTTGTCACCATTGCTTAACAATTTCTCCTTGTTGTAGAGGAGTTCTTCATGGGTCTCAGTAGAGAACTCAAAGTTGGGGCCCTGAAAAGAGTTAAAACAATTACTTTTCAGCATATGTGATAGTTTCAGCAAATATACATGACACATAAAGAATATATTAATAGTGACGGTATGAGTCACAGTAGCAACAGTTTATGCAGAGAGACAAGGAAGAAAAATATACATTTATACATCATATGGAAAATTAATAGTTTAAAGGAACTAATTATGTTCTTTTTATCCTGTTTGAATATAAGCATGCAACTGCATATATACTGGCTCTCCTGTTCAAGCTGTGGGGCTTCTAGTTTAAGATAGTCATAGGTTAGTCTGTAAGGGTTAATTTCATTTCTTAAAATATAATACAAATCTATTTCCATATTGGAAATTTACCTTCAACAAATACATTTTTTCATGTGAACTCCAGTTATATAACCAGAGAAATACAAAATTACTCTTTACATGACTTAATGAAAGTACATTCAAAATGTAAGCATCCACATTCACATTCGCACTCTCACACATTCATTCACTCACTCTCTCTTTATTACACACACACACACACACACACACACACACACACACACACATATATACATACATACACACACACATACATACATACACACACACATACATACATACACACGCACATACATACATACACATACACATACATACATACATACACACACACACATATACACACACACACACACACACACACACACACACACACACACACACACACACACACACACACACACACACACAAATACATACATACATACATACATACACACTCTCTCATTCACTCATTTACTCCCTCATTCACTTGCACATTCATTCACTCACTCACTCTCTCTCATTCACTCACACATTCACTCATTCAGTCACTTACTCTCTCATTCACACATTTACTCCCTCATTCACTCACGCATTCATTCAGTCACTTACTCTTTCACTCTCTCATTCACTTACTCACTCACTCTTTCTCATTCACTTACTTACTCATCACTCTTATCATTCACTCACTCTCTTATTCTTCTTATATTGTTTTACAAATTACAACAAACACCTTTACCCACTGGATTTGGGACTAGACATATCACAAAAATATTTCGCTGATGAGGAGGGTGATGGGAATGTCTCGTCATGGAAAAATTTGGCTTAGGGGAGGGTGATGCAATGTTATTGCCATATGCCAGGTGACAGGAAGATCTTGATATAAGTGCACAAAGCTTTTGCAAGGAGACTGACATAGTGGTCCTTAAGGGAGGGGCTCTTGAAATACAGAGCATGGGGAAAAGAAGAAAAACAAGAAGAAAAAATGAAAAGAAGAGGAAAAAAAAAAATACTATCTTGATATAGCATAAAAAATGATAAGTACAGACACAGGAAATGGCTAAACAGCAAAAATGCATTTGCAGAAAAGGAGCCAATTGCATTGCAGGGAGAAACAAAGAATCTTGATACTTTGTGTGTGTGTAAAGCCAGGCCTACAAGCCTCACAACAGGAAGAGTTGCCACTCAAATAAGCCTGATGCCTGGACTTTAGTTCACATGCTAGTCAGAGGCACCCAGATCCAGCTGGTTAAAACCATTTACATTTATTTCCTTCTCATCTAAGTCAAGAACTTTTCCTCTGTGACAATATTGGGTTATGCATAGAGCTTCAGATATGCATGAATAAAAAGAAAAGAGAGAGATCTTTTTTCTTCATTACTGTAATCCATTTAACTGATGCTAATCACATAATTGCAAAGTGGCCCTAAAAGGGGGGTGATGCCCCCTTGGTAGGGACATCCAACGAAAAGACTAAATTAAATTTATGTAACTTCAAAGTGACCCCAGGGCGTGGTCTGGGAAACACCACTTAGGTGGAAATTTGTTTTTTCTAATAGTTTTATCTGTTTCACATGAATTTTATATATAACCCTCTTAGGGTGAGGTGTAATACATTGGAAATGGCTCATCAGCCCCACAAATTACAAACAAATTTGTTCCCAGCACATCAAAAACCATGATAAAAAATAACTTTTCACCTAAGAACATTGGGGTTAATATGCCTAAATCAATAATCAATAGCTTATTAAAAAAAAAAAGTACTAACCTCAACAATGGCATCCACAGGACATGCCTCCTGGCAAAATCCACAATAAATGCACTTTGTCATGTCAATGTCATACCGAGTGGTGCGCCTGGCACCATCAGCACGCTCCTCTGCTTCAATGGTGATGGCCTATGAAGAGCAAAAAATCTTGTCTGACATATGAGAAACACTTAAATATGGAAAGTTTTGTAATCCAAATTTCT